AAACTGTTATGTACTTGATTTTTGTAATGTTTTAAACTTAAAGAGTTGAAATATAGAAGTGCATGTTCTCTCATTATATACAATGTTGATGAGAACTAGAACCATTTATATAACTTAGGTAAATTGAAATGCTAGGATGGGGAAAATGTTCGTAAAAACTGTAAGCCTTTAAGCGGCGAAAATGGTCAGCTTTTGCAGAAGCACTTGTTTTTCCTTTTTCTTTTTTAAACTTTGGCTATTTCTACTGATCCAACTTACTGTATACAACACAGTTTATATTTATAATATCAAAGTAAAACTTGCATGCATAAGGACACTTATATTTTCAATGTACAGCGTTTCATCACCCAGGTGTCATATCATGGAGCTAGAAAAGGTTGATCAGCTCTCAAAAAAAAAGGCTAGGGTCAGCAGTCTGGGAAACAGGAAACACAACGTTTTTTTCTAGGACCTGAGACGCTATACCTGGCATTATGATATAGTGTTTAATCTTTACCTGGGAAGGTGATTTTCTCATCAGACCTCTGCTGCAGAAGTAGTTCCCCCTGGTTGTTGAAGAGGAAAACGCTGAAGGCTCTGTGCAACAGTCCTACAGACAAACAAAAAATGTACAAAAATGTCATCCAAATTTTACACAATCGTAGAACAACATTCGCTGCCATTAGCCTCCATAGCACGCCAAAAACTGGGGGTTTTAGGGGGGTCTTCAGGGTCTTTGGGAACTTTTATGTGCTATTTTCTGATTGCATATAGACAACATAGCCGGCCTGGTTGAATTAACCCGTTTTTAGAACTGGGCTAACCAGAAAACAGCCAAAAATTCTATGAAACCCAACATTGTGTACTTCTTATTACCTTTCTTGATGTTTTCGTTGAGATGACAGTTCTTCTTGGTCTCGAAGCCCGTGACTTTGTCGTTTTCGTCTATCAGGATACACTGTTCTCCCAACAGCTTCACCTGCGTAGCGTCCAAACCACTGGTGATGTCATCTGCCATGGCGGACAGTAGGGCCGGGCTTCTCTGGTGAAAATGTCTGTGTATAGAATTATTAACATGTAACCTTACTTTAACTAGAAACATATCATTTGTATAGCAAATGCATAATGTTTATGGTCTAAGACGGCCTAGCCTAAAAAATTACCACTCTGTATATTCTTATTCAAACACATCCATAATGGCGGACAGTAGGACTGGGTTTCTCTGGTAAAAACTTCTGTGTATGGATGAAGAAGTGAGTGAGTGAATAAATGAATGAACGAATGGAGGCAAAACTGCCAAAAGAAAGTGCAGTTATGTAAAAACCGAAAGGGGCGAGCATGTCACAACAACCCGAGTTGTCCGCTTGGCGGTCACCAACGCTAACCATTACACTAAAAGGTCGCACGACCATTTAGCATGGTCAGTTAGCACTGTTACAGTTACTCTCCAAGCAGAGGTTTGGGATTTGGCTTCTTTCTGTCATGTTTTTAGTGTGTTTTTTTTTTCTATCAGGCGTCCTTTTTTGCACTGGTGTCTTTTCTCTGCCAACCTGAAAATCCTAAGAACACGCCAAAAATAAGTCACAACCCAAACCTCTGCTTGGATCTATAAAGTACTCTTGCCCCCCTCCCCATACAGACACCATTCTATTCAGTTTACGTAACTTGCATGTCGTTTCTGTTTAAACAGGACGATTTAAGTAATGCTCTCGTTCATCTTCCTTTCGTAAAAGTCTACTACAACTAACCTAATTTAACGTATACTAAAACCACTGTCTTAAAAACGCGGGATATATGAAATTACGTAAGGTGGTCTTAGGAAAAAACATAATTTTCTCGTCACAGATCGTTCATATTTCTTGGTGTAAGAGACAGTTCTAACTCACCTGTACACCTTGCGTGTTACCTGTGCCGTAACGTCACCTGTCCTGCACGACGTCGCGACAAAAGTTGCCGCTATCCTGGCAAACATTTTACCGCGCGACACATCGTACGATATCGTCCCACTGAGCTGCCAATCAAACCGGGAGGCGGGGCTACAAGCATCAGCTCCGCAAGGGTCGACTGAAATGAGACGCCCCCTAGCGGATGTTTTATCAGTGCAGTATGTGTGAAAACTTTCGTCATACAGCATGCTGCCCCGACGGCTGACTAAAATAAGCTATGGGAGAGAGTGAGTGAGTGAGTGAGTGAGTGAGTGAGTGAGTGAGTGAGTGAGTGAGTGAGTGAGTGAGTGAGTGAGTGAGTGAGTGAGTGAGTGAGTGAGTTTTGATACGGGTGTTTCGGCCCGTGTGATAACTAGCGGTACAGCCGGGGGTTCTATTTAGTTATCACACGGGCTTCCAAATGTCCGACGACGCAGAATAATTGTTTGCCAAGTTGGAGAAATAGAAATAGAAATAGAAAAAGAAAGAGAGAATGCAAAACTGCGGCAATGTGTTTTCCTTCTGCGAAGTAAACATAAACATGTTGACGAGTTGGTGACCCATGAAAGCCCGAGGTTATGTAATCAGTACCTCATTTGGATAATAGACAAGAAAATGCTACTCTCCAAATTAGAGTTTGGCGCCTTGTCTTATTTTCGGCGTGTTTTGGGGCTTTTTTATATGGGCCTTTCTTTTATCACTAATATATATTCTGTACATAATTTGCCACATACATATATTATGTACGTAGGAAGAAGTCATCCCATAGATGTATTTAACTTTGTTAGATCTTTAGTTGTAGAAGACCATACAAGAGTCCCTGTACTTTTTGTTGTGTCAATAAAGAATCTGTGATTGTTGCACTGGCATCTTTTTTGGGGTGGGGGGGGGAGGGGCAAAACACAAAAAACAAGATATTTTATTCATGGTGTGCCCAGGCATGTAGCTATATATAGCTAGCTAAGTTGTAGATCCAGTTTTTGCGTTGTCTGTCTCTCTGATATCTCTGTTCTCTTCGTTGATGAAAGTTCGACATGCAGGTAAACAATATCAATAAGAAAAGAAACCAAATTCTACTACTGGATAGATTACGGAGATAACTTCCGGACGTTTCGAGTGACATCCATCCGTCACTCTTCTTCAGCGTCACTAAAATGAGTTTTGAGCACAAGAAAACACTAGTCACGTGAAGGAAGTGGAAAAACCGGTTGTGCAGGAAAACTGTTTCCCTTTCTTACAAATGTGTGTTGGACACTGAAAAAGAAGCACGTCTTTACAACTGGTCCACAGGTACGTCGTTTTAAACTTTGTTGAGTTGACATCGAAAATTTGGAGGTACGTGTTTCTACCTTTCGAAAAGTCACCGATTAAGGAATATTCTACTATTAACTGTAGTTGTAGTTTTGATGGCTACAAATACGCGATCAAATGGTAGCAGGTCGTTTCCCCCCCATGCCTTTTCCCCCCCATGTTAGTCTGGTCATTTCCCTGTCAGTGGTTATGACTCCTAAAGTTATTTTTTTCAATCTAAGATATAATTATGTTACTATAAGTGTTTACATGTGATAGTTAGTGCGATATCTGTACTTTTGTTGTAGTTTTTCCCCAGTTTCATAGAATTTTACAGACTAACAAGCCAACAGTTTCACTGCGGCGAGCGGGGATGCCAGGTTCCCCCACCGCTAACACAGCCCGGGTGCGGTGTCAAGTTGGAGATTTCAGCGATTGCAGGATTGCTTGCTTGTGTTTAAATGTTTTTAAAAGTCAGAGGCGTTTATGTTTAAAATATTTTAAATCATAGATGTTTACGTTTCAATGTTTTCAATCGTGGATATTTATGCATAACTTGTCACTGCATCTGGCGCTGTGCTAACATCAGGCAAAACGGTAGTCAACATAAAAGGAAGTAGTATGCAACAACGACATCACATGTAAACACTTATAGTAACATAATTATATCTTAGATTGAAAAAATAACTTTAGGAGTCATAACCACTGACAGGGAAATGACCAGACTAACATTGGGGGGAAAAGGCATGGGGGGGAAACGACTAGAAACCGATCAAATTGGCCAGACAGTAACATTCGCAAGACAATTACCCCGAGTTAGGCATACGTAAAAAGATACCAGTATAACAAAAGAGAACCCTATGAAAACGCCTAAAACACGCCAAAAATAAGCCGAAGCCCAAACCTCTGCTTGGAGAGTAATAATTCGCGCCCGCCGTGTCAAGTAGTCTTCAGTTATGAAGGCCATTTTCCACTGATGACCCATATATGAGGCACTAAACTGTTGTTTTGTTTCTATAATGTGCTAACGTAAACAATAGCCTGGGTTGTAACATTACAAGAACATTCCTGCTGGCTAATCATTGGTTTACAGCAACAGCAAGGTTCTAGCTACATGTAGAAGTCCTGATGGTGGAAATAAGATGCCAGTGTAGTCTTGTTTTAAATGACCTACTTTAGCTCCCGATTGTATATCCTATAGTTGCGGAGAGGATATAGATTCGGGAGGTCTGGTAACCAGGCTACACCCAAGCGGACATTTACTATAATTATATAGCAATGATGTCCTTACATCACCTAAAGTAACTGACTTCCCCCGCACATTATCATCGTTTGTAATTTGTATGTCCCACTTACGCAGTCATGCATGTTTCTGCACGTGTAATTATCCTACATGTGCGTCAGGCTATATATTTGTCACGGGGTAACGATTAACACGGGCGTAGCACACATTTTACTTCAGTGTTTTCTATGTGTTTCTTCACGTGTAATTATCCTACATGTGCGTCATGCTATATAATTTGTAGGGTAACGATTAACACGGTCCGTAGCACACATTTTACTTCAGTGTTTTCTGTTGTTGTAGGAGACTGTTGGTTTCTCGGTTACTGCGTGTAACAGCATGTACACATTCGTTAAATATACTCTTTCAGCAAAGACAGTATGTATGTACACATTCCAGTAATCTCCAAGCAGATCCCTTTCGGTGGCAAAGAGACAGTATCAATTTGGCCAGGCAGTATCCATTAGCCAGAGAAGGTCGCCGGCCATATAAAAAGCCTAACGATCATTCCCCCACAAGGCACAACCTCTGCTTGGAGAGTAACATTGATTCGTTTATTCGTTCATCCATGATACTCTTGCAGCTAAAACTTAGGCAGAAAATCAAACGGATGAATGTGATGTTTAAGTTGTCTGAAACCGCTTACGTCTGGTAATCCTACATATTTATAAGAATGTGTTTAACCTGAGTGTGTTATAATCCTGTCATTGGTTGTATCAGAGGGGTCCTTGATTATTTCTTTGTTAGTAGCGGTGCTCACTTAAGCTCTAAGCATGAGCAGGTACAACTTTGTACTACATGAAGTACTTATCATGTTTGCTCTAATTTCATTGACAGTTTTGCTTACCCTCCAAGCAGAGGTTTGGGTTTTGGCTTATTTTTTTTATCGGGCTTTCTTTTTGACATAAAATATGACATTTATAATAAAAAGTATACATTACATGATACTAGTACATGTATATACCAGTACACAGTGATGCCTGCTCAAGCTTTACAATTAGAGCAAACATGATATATACTATATGTACTATATGATATATTGCTGACCTAAATACATATATCTTTTGTAGGACGAAGCAGTCTGGAATACCACTTGTATGAAACATGGGGAAGAATGCGATCCTGACTACAGCAATGTCCATTCTCATGGGCTTCTGTCTGGTGGGCACTCTGTACGTACAACAGGTAAATATTGCGATGATTGTATTTTGATACAAAAATGTATCTGCCACTCATTTGTTAGCTATAAGGCAATGTTCTTGAGTGGTAGTATTTGTAGCAGTGTTTGTGTAACATTGGACATCATAATTCAGCGATCTATAGATAAATTGCTCTGAAATATGGTATATGGATAGGATTTGGTATACCAAGGACATTATGTATAATGTATACAGTTAGGTGCTGACCTGTCTCAGAAAGCATTGCATGTTGCGCCCCCTGGCGACTACTAGTATTCTTGCTGCTGCAGTAGTACTAGTGCAGCACCAAATGCAGCGACAAGGAGGCGCAGTTGTGTGTGTGTGTGTGTGTGTGTGTGTGTGTGTGTGTGTGTGTGTGTGTGTGTGTGTGTGTGTGTGTTCCTGTCTGTCTGTCTGTCTGTTACCACCAAGTAGGCAACCCTGGGTAAAAAGAAAATAAATTAGATAAGACTTAATTGATATTATAGGAGTTTCTGTTGACAAGAATTCCAATCTGTATTTCTGCCAGCCTAGTCGAACGCATCTACCTTAGCCTCTACCAGGCTTCTGGAGGCGGCTGGAAAGAGCAGAAATCGGTCAAATAGAGAAATACAATGCCAGGGGAGTTGGTCTGCTGGAGAGAAGTTTGCTGGCATGCTATCTCTCTATTTGGCCGATTTCTACTCTTTCCATCCGCCTCCCGAAGCCTGGCCTGGTAGAGGCCATCTCTACCTAAGCTTGACAATGACGGGTGTCAACTTCATGTTTTCCCCAGCTTTCCACAGTTCCTAGCAGCAGTCCCGTGGTCCAGCCGGACTCCGTCCTCTCGCGGCTCTGGCACCACCAACAGAACGGCTCCGTAGACTACGAGCGAGTCACCAAGTCCGAAAACTTTGTCATCAGCGTCGTCAACCCCCGGCCCTGGTATCGCGTCGGACGTCACCTGTCCATCAAGATCGTTGCCATGGATACGAGAGGACGGCCGAAGACGTACGGAGGGGATTTGATCCGTGCTAAGGTGTACACCCGATCCCCTGTACAGGCTAGCACGTCTGGTAAAGTCACAGACTTCGGGAACGGGACCTACGTGGCGAACTTCTTCCTAAGTTTCCCGGGGAAAGTCTCGGTGGCGGTGAAGCTGGTACATTCCAGCGAAGCCGTGCAGGTTCTGAGAAGGTTGCAAGACATTTCCAGGCGCATCATGGTTTGCGGCTTCCAGGAGGAAAACAGCGACGTCACTGAGTGGATGCAGTGTTCCAATACCCCCCAAGAGAGCCTCAGTCTGCGCGATGTGTGCGACTTTTCCAAACCGCGTCTGAACGTGTCGTTCTACTGCGAACGCCCGAGGGCCAGTTCCTGCAAGTCTTTCCTTGGATGTCACCGCGACCACGCCGCCACCTTGGAGTTGCAAGCTAACATAGCCACTGAGGAGGAAAGGCAGCTGTTTCCTAGGTAACGTGAATATTCACACTCACGTGACTAAGGCGGGACGCCATGTTTGATGGTTACACCGAGATGATAGAGACAGAACGTACTGCGCCTGCGTGAAACCCCAATGTTCACTGTATACAGTAGTATACAGTACAATTTTACAAGTAACATTGCACTGTATAGTAGTAAAATTGCACTGTATACTAATGCGATTGCACTGTATTCCGTAAAATTGCACTGTATATTAATACGATTGCACTGTATTCCGTAAAATTGCAAGTTGTATACTAATACGATTGCACTGTATTCCGTAAAATTGCACTGTATACTAATGCACCTCTGAACACAGATGAAATTCCATGATGATACACAGATGTTGTTTAACTCTACATTTCAGAGATCGGGATTTACCAGAGGAGATACCACGGAACATCAGCCTTCAGGTGAAAGGAAAGCGTAAGTATCAAAAGGAGACATTCAATCTGATGGTGACTTGATGCAAATCTTAATACACGAAGGAAAGAATGAGTTTTTGAACACCTTAGTCCTTGGTTGAATACGGTCAGTAGTTGTCTGATAACTATTATTGTATTGCACCACTTTTGACTCAGTTAAAGCAATTAGCCTTCGGACATGATTTTGCAAAATAGAAAAAAAAATATGTATCCATAAACATTATCGAACTTGTCCTTTCTTTGACTTATACATACAAACCAACTAGATTTTATCCATAGCATCTCAAGTTAATGGGGCCTGCACGCCCTTTTTTCGTAAGGCGTAATCAGGCCTTTTTAGTCTTCGTAATCCGTAGGCAGCCTCCCGAAAAATCAACGTAATTCGTAATAGTACATTAGCCACAAAACGTTAAGTCGAAATCAGCTCTAAGACTTAAACGTAATTCGTAATCGGCGGCGAAAATTTTGCGTAATTTGTAATCAGTAACCCCCCATGCAGGCCCTCGTTGATTAATGTCATTCTTTTCCAGGCCGTTTGCGGAAAATGCAGGGAAAACAGTTGCCCCTTTGCGGCCCTCGGTTACCCCAGACGGCGTCGGAAGGCTACTGGTATAACGGGACTTGGACCTCGCTACGCTGCCAAGTCCGAAGGTTTCGTACCATCGAATCAGTCGCCGAATGCCTGCAGAACAAGACTCTGTACTTTCGCGGAGACTCCACAATCAGACAATGGTTCCGTTATCTCATGCTGTTCTTAAACTTACAACAGCAGGGAAGAGGAGCTCAACCGATTTACGCGATCGACGAGAAACACCGCATAAAACTGCACTTCCTTTTCCACATGTTCCCACGGAACCAGATGCCACTGATGAACGCAAACGACATGGAGTACGTCGCCGAAGAACTGGACGGCATCGTCGGTGGACGAGACGTGGTCATCCTCATAAGTTTGTGGGGCCACTTCATGGCCGAGCCCATTCCGACTTTCCGAACGCGGCTTTACGGCATTCGGCACGCCATCCAGCGACTCCACAGCCGATATCCAGACACTAAAGTCATCTGGAGAACTCCAAACTCTGGGCACCACTTGCAGTTCCGACACTTCGTGGAGAATGGCGACTGGTACGCGTATCAGCTGTTCGACATAGTGTACGAAATTCTGGGCGATCTCAACATTTCTATCATCAACGTCAAGGACATGTCGGAATCCATGTGGTATAATGACGACATGCATCCGCCCAATGACGTCATCGAGAACCACATTGACCTGGTACTATCTCACATCTGTTCCGTGTAAATGACAATGACAACTAGAAAGTTGACATTTGCTGAACAAATGCATCATGTTTCCAGGTTAACAAGCTTAAGCTACTACTTTGTTTAGTCGTAATCATATAAGTCCTTCATATATATATATATATATGGTGACCCTCTTGAACTCAGTTCTGCATAGCATTTGCAACACCATGTAACCTAACACCAGTTACCATGGCGACAGACCTCTGGTCCTGGTCATTGACCAAGAAGAAGAAGAAGAAGAAGAAGAAACATAGCAAAACCAATATGTTTTCCTTCTGCGAAGGTGAACATAATGACGTTTATTGCATATACATGCCCCATTGGGGCGAAATGCAGTTACTAGTAGTTAACCTGCTTGGTCACAGATAGGTAATACATGAAACTACCTATGCTTTATACACTTCTTCTCTCGTTTGTTTTAATTACTTGGTACTTTCGTGGTTAACTGAAGACATCATATGTAAGAAATTGAGGGGTTGAACATTGTGATATTCCTAACAGCCTTACCCAACGTGCCGGGGTGTTTTGCGCGTCAACCGGCCCCTGCGCGACTCGTACCGCCACTATTTGCGATCGCTCCCCATGTAAAACACATATGTCATGTACTTAGCACCATGGTCATATACCAGTTGGCCGCCATTTTTTCTTGGAATCAGCCGCCTGCAAATTTGCCGGTACTTTTCTGATAAGCTATTTCTATATATTAAAAAAAGTAGCGGCACATTGCAAGTAGGTGATTCAGCGCGCTGCTGACCAAGATGGCAGCCACTCGGCTTATGAATACATGGGGAGCGATCGCAAATAGTGGCGGTACGAGTCGCGCAGGGGCCGGTTGACGCGCAAAACACCCCGGCACGTTGGGTAAGGCTGTTAGGAATCTAGAGACGTTTCAAAGTGTTCCGGAAAAACGTGGTGCATTCCACAACATGATTTGGAATAACATGTTTTGGAATGCAACAACTGCTCTGACGATATGATTGTGTAGCTTGCAGTACCAGGTAGGTGGCGCTAATGCATCAAGGGATTATAAGAGTAGGTGAGAGAAAGGAAGAGTGAGCTAATGAATGGATGGATGGATGGATGAATGTATAAGAAGAAAGAGAAAGACCGACTTCCCCGAAGTCCTGGACCACATGCGCACGTGCACATCCGTCCCGTATAAACGGATTGAACATTGCACGGTACACATAGAATACTATACGGTTTCACCGCAGGTCGGATCACCCGAGGGTTGTATTTTATTTACATCATACCCATCCAAGAAAACACACATTTCAATGCGAAATGTACCAAAATTTGCTGTCTCTAAACAGAAAATTGCAACAACATCAGTTCCAAAGTCCGTCTCCGGTATACGAATTTTTGGAACTTCGTGACGCACTCGGCGCACGCAAAAACACTTGGAAGCCCGTATCATATGACCATTTGCGTAAGAGCTAAAATACAGACTCAGATTCAGCTTTATTCACATTGGCATGACATGTTAAAAATTCAAAAACATGAATTGACCCAATATTTGACATGATATTAGAATTTATAAAAATACCCGAAGTTTTTAGGGGATACATTACAAGAGGTAACGTTACGTCTTATTGACTTTCTGTAAACTTCGGTGGGGATGTTAGCTATGAGATCCCGATATGCTATTTGGTGCCATTTATATAAATGATCGAAATTATTTTTCAATTAAGGATCCAAATTTATTTAACATGCTTAGCATTTTATGATAATACACACGTAGCTTATGTCAAATCCAACATTATAATTTACAGTTATTAAAGTCTGATGAAGACAAACTTCTGAAAAGAGTAATGGGTTGTAAGTGGAACTCCTCGAGTTGACTAATTTTTCTTGTATATATGTTTTACATCAACAGACCTACGAGATATAGAGTCACTTCATCTTATTCAGTCTAGCATTCCTTAGACCTTAGGTCCTCCTGTGTCTACAGGCACATTGGGCAGCAAGTTTCCATCTGGGTCGAGTAGCTGCTGCCTCCTCAGCCTCTTCCCAGGTGATGTCGGCCCTCTTGAGTCCTCCTGAAAGGTTCTTCGCCAGGTGTTCTTTGGCCGACCTCTCTTCTGGCGGTCTACGTTTCTACGTTCCGGCAGAAAACTGGCACTTGTACGTGTTATGAACCCACTGTGAACCATTTGTGTACAACCACACCAACCCCCCCCCCCC